ACACAAAGTTTAGCTTTTCATTTTCATTCTACTTTTTTTACTACTTTTACTACTTTCATTACTACTTTTTTTGATCTAACGGCTCTTCATAATTATTTTACTAATGTTACTATGTTAGTTAGACAATTACCTATAAAAGTAGTTAGACAATTACCTATAAAAGACATAAACTGATGAATAGTTTAGTCCTTTACTTAAAGTCTTTTTAAACATTTTTGAAAATTATTAATTTGGTACAGATTACAAATAGCTTTAACATCATAACATAGATAAAAAGATCTTTAATAGAAAAACAGCAAAAAGATTAAAAATCTTAAAGAATTTTGTGAGAAATACTATGAAAACAAATAAAACAACATTCATTGCCCTTTAGAAACCAGAGAAAAACTAAAAAGCATGAAAGCAGTCTTATAATTGTCAACAACCAATTTAAGGTTAAATTATCATAAACTTACTAAAACATTTAAGAGAAATGTGAAATATATATTTCTTTAAATTTGTCTCACAAAATTAAAGTATTATAAGTAGAGAATTGTCTTTAAAAAAGTGTAAGCAGGTAATTTTCAGTTTCAAAACACTTAAAAGTCAAAAAAAAATTAACACTAAAATATTATTTACAAAAAATATGTTAACTTTTTGTTGTAATTGCAAAAGCATTAATGATAGAATTCATTAATTAATGTTTAATCCATTAGTTAATGATGGATTAATAATGGGATTCAGCATTATTATCATGTTATTTCATATGAAAGAACTTTAAAAGAAAACAAGTTTAATGAATGTTGTTCTATCCAACCCATGACAAAACTGTACGTTAAGTTTATACATTATTCGATTTATAGGTTGCCCAATAAAAAGTAGTTGCACTATGGTTCTAAAGTTATTAAAAAGTTATTGTTTAAATTTATTTTATTGAAAACTTTTTACTAATAAATGGGACCTAGGGTGTATTGATTTGATAATTACATTGATATTATGTTGTTAAATATAAGTTTTATTAAAAAATTCCAAAAACAAATAAAGTACCAAAAACTATAAAACATTAAAAACCATACTCATCACCAAGATTTTTGAATCATTCCCTTATATTAATGGTCTCCAAAGTAACTTTTCTTCTGTTGATTTGTAGATCTTGCAAAGTTCACCAGACCTACTTGCTCTTTGTGAGAATAATTTGAGTTCAGCTGTCTTATCTTGTAATTTTAGTGTTGATGTTTTTATTTCTTTATTTCATAAAGTCTCCAATAGTCACATATATTTTCACACACTTTGTGACATAATAGTCACACACTTTACATTTACATTTGTAAAATTTCACCCATTTTTAAGGAAACTAGGTTTCAATTCACAAACTGTTCTTTTATTTGCTTTCGTATAGCACTATTTCACTCTATCACTTTTCTGATTGTTCTAAATCACTCTCCTTTTTCGCAAGACTGCACTCTTTTCAATGTTATTTTAGATCAAATTGACCGAGTTTTCTGTTTTTATGTACAACATTATTTTTGTGTTCAAAATTTTATAACTGTAGTATATTATTATTATTATTATTATTATTATTATTATTATTATTTATATATTATTTAAAAGTGTATGTTTTTTTTTCATTGTTAATTTCAACCTTATTTAATTAAGTTGCAAGTACCAGTTAATTTGTAAACAAGCAATTTAAAATCATAAACTTATTAATCTAAGATTAATTATAAAACATAAATAACAGAAAAAACATTTGTTTAATTACTATAAACAACAACAGCTGTGAAATAATTAAATATTTAAAAATCAAAAGTTAAATTCTCCAAACATTAAAAAATGGAGATAAAACCCTATTACTCTAACGTTGCAATTTACTAAGGTTGCATCTCTTTATCGTGCTTGCCACATTCTTATTCTGAATTCTATTCTTTATCTTTATAAATCTCCAATTTGTTCTTGTATGGAATATTGTTGTCATCTAATGCAAATCTTCGAATGATGTCAATTCTCTTTTTAACACATACACATTGCATACATAGTTAGACCTGCCCTTGCAACTAACCTTCTAACCCTCTTCTTGTGTTACACGTCACTCAATTAAGCCTTATTCTTTTATTGCGACTGTTTCTAAGTGCTCCAAAAATTTTGTCTATTTTTTTTTTATAAAGCTCATAAAATACAGTAAATGTAAAATATCGATATATTATTATAGTAATATAACAATTTGTATGTCTTAATAAAACACCACTTAAATTTTGCAACATTCTCCATCTTTCTACAATGAGGGTTTAATAATAAAAAAAGCATTAATGGATAGATATTATTGATACCACAATTGATAATGCACACTAGTGGAAGTAGGTTCAAACCAAAAAAAATTATCCCAAGGTTATGCCATAATTTTTTGGATATTTTCTCAACTCTAAAACACAAATCTTGACAAACAAGGCCGCTGTGAGGAGAAACAAGTTGAACGCAGTACTACCAGGGTCATGGTGGGGATCAAACTTGGAATTTCTCTCTTATAATGTATGCGCTCTAACACTAAACCACTACTGCATGTGTCAACATTTACCAAGAACATATATGTAATGTTTTGTATTCTTGTTTATAATAAAAAGAATTATTGATGGTTTTTATTTATATATATATATATATATATATATATATATATATATATATATATATATATATATATATATATATATATATATATATATATATATATATATATATATATATAAATATATATATATATATACATATATATATATATATATATATATATATATATATATATATATATATATATATATATATATATATATATATATATGAACGGTAATATATATATATATATATATATGGTAATATATATATATATATATATATATAATATATATATATATATATATATATATATATATATATATATATATATATATATATATATATATATATATATATATATATATATGAACGGTAATATATATATATATATATATATATATATATATATGGTAATATATATATATATATATATATATATATATATATATATATATATATACATATATATATATATATATATATATATATATATATATATATATATATATATATTATATAAATATATATGAACGGTAATATATATATATATATATAAATGGTAATATATATATATATATATAAATATATATATATATATACATATATATATATATATATATATATATATATATATATATATATATATATATATATATATATATATATATATGAACGGTAATATATATATATATATATATATATATATATATATATATATATATATATATATATATATATATATATATATGTATATATATGTATATATATATATATGTATATATATATATATATATGAATAATAATAAATAAAATATCAAGTATATACATAATTTTAATGCTCTTTGTTTTTAATTTTTATCTTTAACTTCTTTTAAAAAGAATTTAAAAGAAGTTAAATATAATGAAATTCATCAAGCATTATTAGAAGGCAGACTAATTTCTGTCAAAATTCTTTTGTTTAAATATCAGGATGTTGTGTTTAGGGGAGATAATGGTACTTGCATCTCAGGAAATTGTTATTTACCCTCCAGGTCAACCTTTGAAAACAATATTATCTGTCAGTCAATCTAGATCCAATAAGTATATATCAATTTTTAGCAAAAGTATTAGATATACTCCAATACTTTTGCTAAAAATTGAAACAATGTTACTTTGTCTTAGTTCTACGATTATACTGTTACTTTTAAACAAATATTTAGTTCTCTAATATATGGTTAAAAGCCTTTTTAGCAAATATGATATTTTATAATATTTTTTAATAATATATAATTGTTGATATGTCAAAATTGAAAAACAGCATCTTATTTTTATCAAAAAAAAAACTTAGAATAAGTGAAAAATACAACTCATTACAAGAAAGTTTAGTTTACCATGCAAATGATCTTAATGTAAGACCCGGGCATGTTTTTATTTGCCTTTTTTATATATTCTTCATAAAACCAAACACTTTAAAGAAAAATTTGAACGAGCTGTCTATTATATTACTTTTACCTGTAATTTAAAGTAGAAATAAAAAGTAAAGTGAAATGTAAAGTAAAGAGAGGAATAGTAGAAATATTTTATAGAAAGAAATATATGTTGATATATGCAATATGTTGATACATATATCAAAATTGAAAGACAGTGCTGTGCTTTTATTAGAAATTATTAAATTATTAATCACTAAAACAAACTTAGAAGTGAACAATATGATGCATTGCACAAAAATATAAATAACTGTGCTAATGATCTTAATGAAAGACCAGGCTGTGTTATTATATTGTCTTCTTTATATGTTGGAAGTCCAAATGCTCCAAAATAAAACTTTGAAGATGCGATGGCAGTCATAAACCAGATCTTTTCATTACTTTTACCTGCAATCCAAAGTGGAAAAAAATAGTAGAAAATACAAACGCGGAAAAAATCTGATTTAGTTTATCAGGTATTTAAAATAAAACTTAAATCCTTTTTAGATGATCTTTAAAAACACAATTTCCTATACAAAGTTATAAGAAATATACAGCTTATTAAACTCCAAAAATAAGGTTTGCTACATGTACATAATTTATTGCACTTAATAAATAGTGATAAGCTAGAAGCAGCAGAGGATATTAATAATGGAAGCAGAGAAAATTAATAAATGTATGGCGAGGGGGGCTGGTCTTAATAATCTCTGGGCTGTCAAAAAAAAAAACTAATAAATTATTAGGGTACAATTCTACAATTAAGAAAAAAAGTAGGGTAGCCCAGGGCTATTCCGAATTCGAGGCTAATCTGAACAATTTTTTTTTTCCACTGGAATATTCCATTTTGTGGTATTTGAAACTGTTCCAAAAGAAATTTGCTGGAGTTGGTTGATATACCAATATTTTAGCATTTATTTAATACGTTATATGTAAAGCTATAAGTAATTAGTTAAATTAAGTTAATTAAACCTCATTCATTTTATAACATAATGATTGTGGTTTCTGCTTGAACAACTTTTTGGTTTAATTTGTTTTGTTGAATAGACAAAAAGTCAACTAAATAATTTTTTACAGATAAAAATTGTTTTACTTGGTTTCTTTATTTTGTTTTTTAACTTTTACTGTATCACTTTTATACTGTGATTTACAGTGATTGATTGTGTTTAAATGTGCATTTACATAATTTTTTTTTTCTGAATTTCATTAGTTTATATAATGGTTTATCATTATAAGAAAAAAATACCAACTGCTTCATATACCTCAAAAGATATTGAGCTAACTATAGCAGAAATTTAAGCAAGTTCTTCAATACATACATGTAGCTGCATCAATGTAAAACATTCCTGTCACTACACTCACTTATCTAGAAAGTTAAAACTTAGTAAATGGCATCTAACAGCATCATCTTTTAGTAAAGAGGAATAGATTGAATTCCCATTAGAATATAGATTCAATTTCGGTTGGCCACTAAATTGAAAAGACATGAAAGCAATTGTCACTCAATTTTTAAACAGTAATGAAAGTAGAGTATTTCCTGGGATAGTAATGGTCCAGATGGCAACTTCTTACTAGGCTTCGAAATCTGGATGAGACCGGTTTTTCTACTAGTGAAGGAAATAAACAATGTCTTTTAATTCGTACTTTACTCCCAACATAAATGCTTCTTGTGGCAAAACTATGTTTTCAATATTATTTTGTGGAAATGCTACTGATTTTCTTATGTCACCTTTTGTAATTTATGGAGATAAAAAGCTTTATAACACTTGATATATACAGGGACATAATGACACCCAATATGCTGCATCTAAGTCAGGAAGGTTGGAAGCATGTCTTTTAAAATTGGTTTATTAAGGTAAATAAGACCTTTTCAGCATAAACTTTTGTTTATTATTTTACCCTTTAAATTATTTAACCAGGTTAAATTTTACTTTTTTTTTTAATAATCAAGGTCTTTATTTCTTACAAAATTAGTCAAATTAGAGGCAAATTCCAAAAATTTAAGTGACTTTATCTCAAAACTAACAAAATTTTCCTAATTTAGTTTTAATTAAGCTTATTTATAACTTTCTACATTTTAGATTTCACTCATTAGCCCTACCCTAAATAGCAGTCACGCTTTTGTTTAAACCAATAAAACAAATTGGGAGAGATATTTTGTGCAATTTCTTCCAAGAATTTTGCCATATGTTAGTCAACAAGACTCTTTTTCCAAATTTACTGATTTTAACTTGGCTGAGAGTAAAAATTTAGAACCTGGTTTGAGAGCCTCAGGTCTATATCTGTTAAATCTATAAAAATCTGACAAAAAAGTGCTGGTGACAGCGGATAGTACAAAAGATGCCTGTCCTCATTGTGAACTTCAAGCTACTGTTTTAAAAGTCTTGTAGCCAAATCCATTCTATGACACTCTAAAAGCTATAAGCAAAAAGGGAAGAAAATGAGTGCAAGCATAATGTGGCGAAGTTCTCACTAAAAAATGATTAGTAGAAAAGAAGAAGTTTCAAAAAAATAAATAAAAAAAACTTTCTCAATTTAAAATTGTCTTTACAAAAAAGAAATATGAGTATTTTTTGTATAATTTTTTCCTTGTATATATTTTCAAATATGCCTATTACACATGGCCTACTTTATAGAAGGCCTCGACACCGTGCGGGAATTTTTTTGACTGAAGGCCGATTTAAAACTGTTACAAACGCATTTTTTGAGTAAAATACTAGTTACGTTTTTTCAGAAAAATTTACAGCTATTCTTCTAGTAAATTTAATTTAAATTATTTAGAATGCCTTTAAAATGTTGTGTTCCAAACTGTTCCTCAAATTATAAGTCTTCAGCTTGTAATGTATCTGTGTATAAATTCCCTCGTGAAGTATGTGAAAAAACTAAATGGTTTATGAGCATCCCTCGTTTAAATTGGACCGTAACAAAATACACCGTTGTTTGTAAATTGCATTGGCCAGATGATGCAGAGTTTAAATTATGTCGTGGTAAATTGAGACCGATTCATCCTCCATCAGTGTTTCTAAATATATCTAAAAGTTGTCTATCCTCTCCACCACCTAAAACGAGAAAGACTTTATCTTCTTCTTCAAAAAGAGGTATCAGAAAAGATGAATTAGAAGAATATAAAACAATTGATAATTTAAATTTTGAAGAAATCGAAAAACACTTATCAACTTATAATGATTTGATTTCATACAAGCAAAATAATTCAATTTTTATCCAATCTAAAATATTTAATTGTGGTGTTCCACTATTTTTGCTAATAATTAATCAAAGTTTGTCATTCGAAGCATTTCATTTTGGTTCAAAATGTACTATTAAATCTCTGGCAAATAACAGAATCACTTCCCTTTGTACAAAGTCATCTTTAAATGAAGCCCTTAGATATCTGAAAGTTGAAGATAAGGATCATAAAACTCAAGTAATGTTTGAGCATTTAAATGTAATGGGAGATCATACTGTTGGCTGTGCTGTGTATTCTCCAGATATAATAACCAGAGCTTTTGAATATTTTGCAACAAGTCGTTCCACTTACCATCGATTATGTTATGATTATCAGTTGCCAAGTATTCGAACTTTGACACGCATAACTTCAAAAATAAACTCTCAAGATGATTTAACTTTTTTAAGTTCTGTGTTATCGAACCTTGATGAAAAAAAAAGAAATTGTGTTTTATTGATAGATGAAGTTTATGTAAAAGCAGCATTATTATATCAAAGTGGAAGTATTTTTGGAAAAGCTGTAAATAATCCAGAGAAATTAGCTACTACTGTACTTTCATTCATGGTAAAAAGCCTTTATGGTGGACCTGAATTTCTAGCAAGAGTTTTACCAGTTAGTAATCTGACATCAGATTTCCAACAAGAACAGTGCAAATTAATTGTAGACACTATAGAAAGTTCTATGAGTAATGGTAAAGTTATTGCAATTATTACAGATGGAAATAAAGTTAATCAAAGCTTTTTTTCTAAATTCAAAACCGTAGACGGAAAACCTTGGTTATGTCAAAATGGCTCTTATATTTTATATGACTATGTCCATCTTTCAAAGTGCATAAGAAACAATTGGCTGACAGAAAAACTAGGTCAGTTACAGTTTACTCAAAATGAGATAACTTACATTGCAAATTGGAGAGATTTAGTTAACTTATATACACTTGAAAAAAACCAATTAATAAAGTTATCCAGATTGACTGAAACATCAATAAATCCTAAACCAATAGAACGGCAAAAAGTAAGCATTTGTTTACAAGTATTTAGTGAAGAGACAGTTGCAGCTCTAAAAACTCATCCTAAAATAGACCAAGAAAGTGTCAAGGGTACTATTATTTTTTTGGAGTTGATTATAGAATTTTGGAAAATAGTGAATGTTAAATGCCCAGGTGCCAATGCTAGATTTAGGGATGAGTCACGTAATGTAATCAAATCTTCAGATGACATTAATTTAAAAAAGTTACTTGCTATTGCAACAATGGCATAATATATGAAACCAACATCTGGTAAACGAATTCGTCAGCTTACGAGAGATACAAGCAATGCACTTTCTCACACTTGTCGTGGACTAATTGATTTGTCTTGTCATCTTTTATCAAGTGGAAATCAGTATGTTATTTTAGGTTGGTTTTCTAGTGATCCAATTGAGAAATGTTTCGAAAAACTACGGCAAGGTTCTGGTGGTACGTACTTTATAACTGCTAAATCAGTTATCGAAAAAGTACGTATTCAACATGCTAAGTCAATAAAACTGCATTACCTGCATTCACACTTAGAATTTTTCAGACCAAATTTGGATGATGTGAGTGAAGAGCTTGGATATCTATGCAATCGAGAAAAGATACCAGGACAGATGGGATGCAGCTATGATGGTTGACTACATCTGGTGCTTGATATGCAATGATGACAAAGTTCATAAAAGAAAACCACATTCTACTGTTCACTTCTAGTATTTTTTGAGATTTTGAGAGACATTTACAGACAATTACATTAGAACATAATGTAACATTATGTAATATAAGTATGTAACATGATGTAACATGACATTTTGTAACATAACATAACGTTTTTGAATTAGTTAATGTTATATTTTGACTAAAGTTGTATCTCATGCAATATGGTTAATATTAATTATATGTTTAATTGAATTTTTGATTTTATGATCAAAAGGTTGATGCAATAAAAAAAACTAATGTCATATTCAGCATACTCAAATTAAATAAGAAACATCAAAACATTTTATAAACAGATAATTTTTTTTTTTTTTTTGTAACATTGTGTCATTTATCCATTGATATTAGGAATAACTCTGAAATACATGTTACCTAAAAAAATATAATGCAATTTAAATATGACATCTACAAGCATTTTTTGCACACATTGACTTTTGTTCGGATTAGCTCCCATGGGGCTATTCTAAACAAAGCATATTTTTGTATCAGGCTCTGCAAATACAATGTCTTTGTTTAAAAATGAAATATTTACTTGACACATACAATATAAAAAAAAAGTTTTTGCAAAGCTAAAGAAAAAAAATTAGAAAGCTTAAAACAATGCTTTTGTTCAAATTAGCCCTGCACAACCTAATATAAATGGTAGGTGTGGAACAGACCTACCATGACCTGCTTTCTTCTAAAGAATCTCAATGATTGGTTATTAATATTAAGTCACATGAAGTATTTTAATATCTTTTATAAAACTTTTTTTAAACTAGTTAAACATATGGATAGAGAATAAATTAATTTTTAAAATATTTTGAAAAGGTTTTTTAAGAACTTTGATTTTTTGATTATTTTTTATAAATGAAAACATTAATTATTTTTTTTAATGTCTAAAAAAATTCTCCACAATATAAATTCCACAATATATATATAGTGGCGGGATAGCTCAGATGGTTAGAGTATTAACGGAAAAGTTAAAACCCGGACTTTTGAACGATACGAGTTCAAATCCTGCCACCCCCAACTCAGCGCTTGAGTAGTATTTCGGTATGCAAAAATGTTGGTCAATAACGGACGCTACTTTGGATTAGTCTTAATGACTATTTGTGGCTGTTCCTATGCTAAGCCAACAATATCTTGGGATATAAAAAAACATTGTATAGAAAAATATAGCATGAAAACTCAAATAAATAAAATTAAAAAAATAAACAAAACTATTTAGATTTTAATTAAAAACTTTTAACATTAGTTAAAATGAGTTTGATGGGTTATAGTTACAATGACACTTTTTTTTAAATTTGAACAATTTGACTATTTAGTTTCAGAAATTAAAACAAAAAGCAGCAAATGTAAAATGTAGTTTCTAAGTAAAAATTTATGTATTAAAATTATTATTTATTAATTATAAGTTAAATGTTTAAATTTAAACCTTTTTTTAGAATTTAATTTGCTAGTTATTAAAAAAAGTTATCAAAAAAAATTTTTTTTTTAATAGAATGAACTTTGTTTCACACTTATTTATTAATTTAATTAACCATCTATTCTTTATATAAATATCAATAAATTAATAACTTAAAAAAACAAAAAACAATCACTCAGTGATTGCAATGACAAACAAAAATATAAGAAATTAAACTGATGAGCAACTCAATGCTGCCATTTAGGCAATCATTCTGTAAAGCAATAACTAGTTTATCATGTATGGCAATACAAAGACAACTTTATTGTTCAGGATAAATAATCCTGCTAGTTCTATTGGTACTAGCACATTTGCTGTTTTAAGTACTTTTACGAAATAAATATTAGTTCATAAATTTAATAAATATTTAGTTAAATAAATATTATAAAATCTTTAAACTATACTTAAATAGTTTTGATATAACCCACAAACAAGTACATGAACTTGCTACTAGTTATTCATAACATACAAGTTGTCAACTTAAAATTGATTCAATTATAATCCATATTGCAAAATTTTTAAAAAATAGTAAAGTAAAATAAAATTTTTAAATAGAAAAAAAAACCTTTGAGATTTGCAAATACTTAAGCAGCACCAGTCATAAACACACAGCAGTTCTGGGTTTATAAAACAAGACCCCTAGTCCTTACCTTTTATCAACCTTAATTGGTTGCTACTAGTGATCATCTGACATTTTTTACATACATTTTTAAATCTATTAATATCAGCATTCTTGACATGTAATTTACAAAATAGAGTTGATCAATAAAATCATAACTAAATTTACCAAGTTTTCTGGAAACCGGCCATCTTTTGTTGAATAAAAACTATTACTGTTATTACTTTTTTCTTGAGCACGGTCTTGAATAACTTTATCAACACCAGTTTTACCATCAGCTTGGTAAGGATTCATATTTGTTGAACCATTGATGTTTTTGTATTCATCTGAATCAGAATAGTTTTTTTTTTCATGAGGCTCACCTCCAGCAACAAGCACATTCTAAAAAAATCATTTAGAAAATCAATTCAAAAAAATCAAGAAATTTGCTTTCAATACTGTTTTCATTTTATACTGTAACTTATCTAGAAAGATGAATAATTTGAAATGTTTTAAAATACACACACATTTAAATTTAAATTGATAAAATGTCTTCTATCTCAAACTTTTATTGAAAAACTACAAATTGAATGTGTACGTGTGTTTATATATATATATATATATATATATATATATATATATATATATATATATATATATATATATATATATATATATATATATATATATATATATATATATATATATATATATATATATATATATATATATATATATATATATATATATATATTGTTCATTATGTATATTTTTAGATAAAGCAATTCATTTATATACCACATTTATTGATAAACATTTTTCATTGTTTTTATTTTTTGTTTACAATTAAAATATTCTGTTTAATTATTTCTGCATTCTTTTTTTCAGGGTCAAATTTTAGTTAGAAATTTTGAAATCCGCTTCTTTTAAGAGCATATTCATAATTACCTTTAGATGAATTAAATACATTTTCATCAAAAGATTTTGGTTTAGACTGTATTTAATTGAAATTGACATTTTTTTAGAATTTGGGGTGGATGATTTGAGTTAGTATTAACATACAATAATTCATCATTCGCTTTTCTGAAAGGCCTAAAAGAACTTTTAAAAACATATCAAAAAAATTTACAATTTTTAAGTTTATGATTTTTTCAAAACCAATATTTTGAAAAAAAAAATTTATAATATCTTTTCTAACTTTATCAAGCAATAGACTAGAATTTTACGTATAACTATTAAGCCATCATCGTGATAAAGATATAATTCATTAAAATTCGTTATTTAACTTAATAAATCTAATACATAGTAAAATATATATATATATTTTTTTTTTCAATTATTTACCTCCCCAAGGCCCGAGGGGGCTACTACAGTCAAGGAGGCTACTCATTTTTTTTTTGTTTTTGTTTTTTTTATTTTTTGTTGTAAATTGTGGCACAAGTCACAGTTTATACGTGGCTGGTATATAAAAAGTTAGTGGAGCAGATTTCACATCCGAAAACCGACTTATTCTATCAGTAGGACATTATTCTAACAGTTTTCTCATAAGATTGCTATGATTAGCATTTTTTCTTTCAAAATTACAATGTCATTATTTTTTCGCTTTCATTCTTAAAAAGAAATCCTTCAAATTGGTTGGGAAAATAATATTAAAAAAAAAATTAAATTGTAGATAAAACAATTAATAATACTGTAAAAAAATATTGAGGGAAAGAATTAAACTTTCTATTTTGTTTTTAAAAAGACACAAAGAATTTAGTCAATCAAAATCAAAATTTGGCAAAACAATATTATTCCTTAGCACAGTGGGCCAGAGATCGGCATAAATGCCAAAAATGAGTGTTTGTAGAAACTTTTTTTTTTACAAAATTTTAAAAGTAAATACCCCACAATAAAATATTATGACGTTTAAATACTTTCATTATTGTTTTAGGAGTCCTGAGATAAGTTTCCTTTTAAGTTCATCCATTAAAAAAACATTTTTTTTAAAAAAAAAACACAGAGAAAATTTTTTTTAAAAAAAACACAGAGAAAAAAAAAACTCATAAAAATGAATTTCACCTCGTAAGCGCAGTTTTCTTTAATTTTATTAAAATTTTATAACCTCAATATCAGGGTAGCTTTATTATTGAAAACTTAACAATTAAGAATAATCTTGTATTTTATAACTTTTTTCTTAACTTGAAATAAGACAGTAAAAGTATTACAAAATTAAATAAAAAATTACCATAAAATGGTTGAGATCTTTTTTTGTCCACGTTTCCCCACTATGGGAATAGTTAATCATCGATTATGTTTTTATTAATTAAAATACGAATTCTAATTAAAAACTCTTAAAAACTATAATTATATTTTTAAATTGAAATTTTATTGTACAAATCATGTTTTGAAAAACAACTTAATCAAATAAAAAAAATCAGTATATTTTTCTAATAGTTTTTTGTTAACTAATCGAGATAAGTAATCGAGAAAGTTAAGCTTTATTCATTCTGACAATTTTTGTTACATTAGTGGAAAGTTTGCGACCAAAAGATCAAAGATAGAATTTAGCAAACAGAGTCAAAACTGCATATGAAAGTTACTTTAAATCAAACTTGGTGACTATTATAAAAGTCAGTATCATAAATGCTACACAACATGTTATTCTGGGCAACACAATTGGTTACTAAATATATATGAACATTAGTAACACATTTCCAATTATATATATATATATATATATATATATATATATATATATATATATATAATATATATATATATATATATATATATATATATATATATATATATATATATATATATATATATATAGACATTAAGGCTTACAACTCTCTAACACAAATAATCAAACATGTGCTTCTTATATAACTTCTTAAATTGGCAACTGAAACTTTTTTTCCCTGATTCCAAGTTAAACCTCACTCTTCTCCTTGGTTATGATCTTGTTGTGCTGCTGTACTTTCGAATTGTAACTATTACTTCCATATCTATCATCAAAACAGTTCTTCAGAAAACAGACTTCTTATGTCAATGTTCTCAAAAGGTTTTGTCTAATGCCACTATTCTCAGGTCATGCTATTCTCAGGTCACAAAATCTTGAAATTCAAAAGTTACACTCTAGAGACTTCTGCAGAAATTTAAAAGTGTCTATATTAAGGATAAACCTGTCATTCCACGTCTCTTGCATGGTTCAAAATTTATTACCTTACCTGAAAGAAAAGCTGAATTGTTTGCTAAGAACTTTTCATCAATCTCAACTCTCGATTCCACTAATCATACCCTACCTAATATAGCCAAACAAATAGAATGATCCATTGCTTGACATTCATATCACTCCAGCTTCTGTATCTAAAGTGATTTTTTATTTGGACTATTCTACTGCTTGTAGTCTGGACAAGATTTCTGTTATAGTCTTGCTAGGGGTGTTCTCCATAGCTCTTGTCTATACTTTTGATATTTTACAAGAGCTTATCAGAGTATTGTTTACCAGCCTGCTGAAAAGTTGCATCTGTTATCCTAATGATAAAAAATTCTTCTTCCTATCATAAGCAAGGTTTTTGAGTCTTTGATTAACAAACACTTAACCTCTCATCTTGAATCTAATAACTTCCATTCCAATAATCAATATGGATTTCAATCTTCTCATTCTACAGCTGATTTTTTATTGGTAATAACTGATAGGTTATATCATGCATTAGATATGGAGAGGCTAAGGCTATTGCTTAAAGTTTGGCATGCTGGTCATAAGCTCTTTTCTCTTAGTGCATCAGGTAGTAACTTTAAGATTATTGAATCCTTCGCTACCAATCGTAGTATAAAAATTGTCCTTGACAGACAAAACTCTTCTTCATTTTTGGCCCTATACTCTTTTTAATTTACATTGACGATCTCCCAGAAATTTTTACATTTATGGTGGCATTGTTTGCTGATTATACTACCATTCATTCTTGTGTTGACAAGAAGCTAACATTATCAGATTGCTAGAAAGGGGCAAGTGAGTTTAAAAAAAATCTCGCTTCTGCTAAAATATAGGGCTCTAAATGAGTAACAAACATTATCTTAGATTAAACTCAAATTTTTTTCAGCTATTTATTTCAGCTTGTTATCGCAATAATCTAAATCTTCTTATATTTATGAATGGTAATGTATTCAATGAGTCATCTGTTGTTTTTTAACTCTTACTTCCAATTTATCTTCAAAACCAAATATCTTTATCTTTAAGAGCTAGTATTTCTGGTGGCATTTACTAAAATTAATTATTGTATTACTTATCATTTAATTAAATCTCATCCTTTTTACTATGACTGTTCCTAAAAGCTCCAAATGTTTTATTTTGTCTTATTTTTTTCCTTGAACATCAGTTTTTTGAAATTCACTCCCTTTATTTTGTTTACCTGATAAATATAATTTGAAATCTTTTAAGTCGCCTGTTAACTTTAATCTTGCTCTATAAACTTCATCTTTTCGGCTAGAAAATCATGTTTAACGCTATATAATGACCATGCAAATACTATTTGATTTTGAAAACTTGACCACAACTGTTAAGATGTTTTAAAACCTGTATACATTTTTAAAATGTGCTAAAAAAATTATCTAAACTATAAAAAAAAACTTAAAAACAAAACTTATCCTAAAAGAAGCAAATAAATCTTTGTAAAAAAATAATGAAAAGTAAAATACAAATTACTTGACAAAATAAATAATAAACTATAATTCTAAGATTATTTAAATTATATTCAGAATAAATAACTTTAAATGGTCTATCTTTACTTATATTTTTATAATATAATATTATTCAAAACTCTTTTAAATAAAGTAATAACTTACATCCAACAATTGTTCAATAAATATGCACATTTAAAAAGTTAAAAAAAAGATTCTTAACAATTCTTTGCAGCCACATGAAAAAATAGAAAAAAGGCTTTCAAAAAAGTTTTTTTTTTTTTCAACAAAATTTTATTCTGTATTAACTTTAATGATTCTTAAATAAAGTTTATTAAAGGGACAATCTTTGTTTAAAGTTGTCTTTTTTAAAATTTAATTTTTTTTTATGTGAAAGGTTTATATATTGACACCACTGCAACAAATACAAAAAGATTTTCTAGTAACAATGTTAGGTTTTTTTTGTTTTTTTAAAGATATTTTAAGTGCTCCCAGAAGTCCTTACAGTCTTATCACAGAGCACCGCAGGAGAGCATTCAACAGGAAGTTTACGCCTCCTTCCGTACCAATGTTGCTTGTTGGGCTAGAGCTGGTATTGAACCTCAGATCTCTGGGTTCTGAGCCAGAACTCTAACCACTACGCCATGGCTGCTCATACTGCTCATACGGTTTAGTTAAAAATAAAACTGAACATTACTAAAGCTGATTCTCAGAAGACATATTTATGAATTAAATCTATGTAATTCATAAATATAAACACTTCTATGAACTTACCACTGTAAAAACTGATTCTCCAGAAAACCTGATGTTCAAACGGTTCCAAATAAACTGCAATGACATTATAAGTAGTATTGATTTTTCAAAGTTTGCAAAATATGATATCTATTGCTAACACTTTCTTAGATATTGCTAAACTCAAAACTATAATATTTACAAGAATGCTTGTAATACGAAAATTTTCCCCAGAGGAGATTACAACAAACTATTGAAACTGACTCATGCATTGAAACTGACTCATTGAAAATGACTCATTCAGTTTATTAAATCTAACTAAATTGAATGATTAACTTTACTTATAACAGTACCTATATTTAAAATGGGAAAACGTTGATCAGTTTAAGTTTTTCCAAATTTGTCAGATAACTTGCATGGGTTAACAACATTTTGGAAAGATCTCTTAAGTTGGATCAGACTTTGTAAACAATGTTCATGATAAAGATGATCATCAAGAGCTACTACTTGCTATTAGCCAAATGAGAGAAAATCTTTGTGAAACAAAAACTAAGAAAGATTTGGATCAAGTGTACATTTAATCTCTAGCCCCAACCCCCAATATCAATATTGTGCTCTGCCTATATAAAACCTTGTTTGACACTATAAAGACTATTCAGGTGATAGTTTGTTCCGCTTAGGTAAACAGTTTATACAGGAAATAGTTTTCATACTCCATCAAGTAATAACACCTTTTATTAAGCAAGAATCTTACTTTTTCAGCAGATTTCTAAAGATTCTGAAGCAGACTAATCTGAAGATGCAGACTAATTTCTTAATTTTTTCCACATGTTCTTTTTTTTTAATTAATATTCAATCTAATATATAATCACAAAAAAAATAAAAATTGAAGAGGTTAAACTTTTAAGAACCTTGCCAGGTTTTTAAAACACACAACAAATTTGGACCAAAATTGGGCCAGCTGGAACCCTAAAAATTATCAATTTATGTATGTAAAAACATAAATATATATATATATATATATATATATATATATATATACATATATATATATATATTATATATATATATATATATATATATATATATATATATATATATATATATATATATATATATATATATATATATATATGTATATGTATATATATATATATATATATATATATATATACATATATATTTATATTATATATATATATTATATATATATATATATATTTGTATATATATATATATATATATATATATGTGTATATATATATATATATATATATATATATTTTGATCCTGCAAAGCTTCGAAATAGATAAAAAAAGCTTTGAATAGAATCGAATTAAAAAAATGATTTGAGATTCTTTTCGAAAATCGAAACCTTACTTAATTTATTTTTGTTGTGGGTATTTTAGATATTCTGCGCTTTAACACTTTCGATATAATGTTACTTATCCTTAAATACCTTTTTAACCTATTTTTTTTTTAAACATCTTTGCTTCCAACAAGACTGCAAGCAATCACTAATTAGTGTTGCAAGTTACTGGAAGAGAAAAGATAAAGATTGTAGAGCAAGATAATGATTGACATATGTCTTAAAAGATTGCAAATTATATGAATCAGGAAAGCAAGACGAAGGAAGCGAATTCCAATGAACTGATGTTCAAGAGAAAAACTAGATGAATAACAGAAAAAGAATGAGACTTAATTGAATGACGAGTAATAGTAACATTATGGCGATGTGATAATGGTTGAAGGTTGGCTGCAAGAGCAGGTCCAACTATGTTTACAACGCGTTTTTGCATCTTGTCTAATTGAGAAAGGGCATCATTAGAAAGTTGGCCCCAGATATGGCAACAGTATTCCATACAAGGTTGGATTTGAGATTTATAGAGATAGAGAATAGAATCCAGAGTAAGAAAGTGTCTAGCTTGATAAAGAGATGCAACTTTAGCAGATGCTAATTTTGCAACGGATTTAATATATGGTTTCCAAAAAAGATCAGAAATAAGAGTTAATCCTAGAAGATGAAGGGTAGATGACTCATCAAGTACATTACCGTTCATAAATGTAGGAAGATCTAAATTATTGCGATAATGATTGGCTGAAAAAAATTGAGCTTTATCTGAATTAAAGTTCACCAGCCACTGTAAGGCCCATGCTGTAGCAGAAGTAAGATTCTTTTCAAGCTCAAATGCCCCTGCAAGCAATCAGAGGAAGTTGGCTTCTTATCATGACAAGACTAAATGGTAGTATCATCAGCAAATAATGCCACCTTAAATATGAGAATATCTGAAAGATCATTAATGTAAATTAAAAGGAGTATAGGGCCACGGATTAAATCTTGAGGAACCCCTGAGGTTACAGAACAAGAAGAAGAGTGTTGTCCATTAAGGACAACTTTTATATTATGATTGGTTAGAAAGGATTCAATAATCTTAAAGATGTTTCCAGATACATTGTAAGAAGAAAGCTTATGGAAAAGACCAGCATGCCAAACTTTATCAAACATTTTAGAAATGTCAAGAGTGATGGCCTCAACCTCTCTACCTTTATTTAAGTCTAAGCAGGAAATCACTTTAGATATAGTAGCTAGAGTGATACAAATGTAGAGCAATGGATCAACCTGTTTGACGGCTATATCAGGTAAAATCCAACTAGAGGAATCAATAAATGATATTAATGAAAAGTTCTTAGCAAACAATTCAGCTTTGTCTTTAGGTGAGGTGACAAAGTTTGAACCCTACAAAAGAGGTGTAAATAAAATCTTTACATTACAGATATTAATAAGATTCTCCAGAAGTCTGAAGAAAAAAAAAAGTCTCCAGAAGTCTGAATTTTTGAGATAAAATACAAATTTCATGAACTGAGAATAGCGGGCTCTAACATTAGACAAAACCTTTTTACAATGGTTCCTAGCAGTAATAACCAGATGTCTGTTTTCTGGAGAATTGTTTTGCTGATAGATATGGAAATAACGGTTTCAATTGGCAATTGCAGCACCACAATGTAAGGAAAACCATGGGGAAGAGTGAGGCTTGACCTGGAATGATCGAGAAGGAATAAAGGATTCCTTGCCAGCCTGAATCCACGAAGTTATGTAAGAAGCACATTTGTCAACAGGAAGAAAAAAGATTTTTATCCAAGGGCCATCACAAAGAAAATCTCGGAAAGAGTCCCAGTCAGCTTTTAGGTAGTTGTAAGATGTACGATGATAGGGAGATTCTGATGATAAAGAAGAATGAGATAATAGTTTTAGAGAGATCAAACTGTGATCAGAGACACCTAAGGGTGAATGTGAATCAGTCATTAAAAAGGTTAACCAGGGCAAGAAGTATCAATAAAGAGATTATACAATTAATTTATTTTATTTTGTTTTAAAAATATGTATTATTAAATTAAAAAATGCTGAAATTTAGACTTCAAAATGTCAATTCGAAACGTGATTTGAATCGCAAATCAAGACCTGCTTTGATTCTAGATTTGATCAGAAAGAAAAACTGCTGATTCGCAGGGCTCTAATATATATATATATATATATATATATATATATATATATATATATATATATATATATATATATATATATATATATATATATATATATATATATATATATATATATATATATATATATATATATATATATATATATATATATATATATATATGTATATATATATATATATATATGCACATATTAGTGTTATATTAATGTCAATAACAATTACAGCTGACCAATAATAAAAGTTAAAATAAAATTACATTTACTAGAGATTTGTCTTCTTCTGATAGAGTACTTGTTTTTTTCCTTTTTGATTTTGATTCTTCTTGAACTTGTTCTTGGTTACTTTTTGAAATATCAGTTTTATCTTCAGATTTGTAAACATTCTTGTCATTTAAACTATCAATGCATTTGCTTTCTTTAGTATCTGATTCAAAATGATTATGAAGTTTGTCTTCAGGAGCAGGCAAAACCTAAAGATATCATATTAATTCTAATTCATATACAGGTAGTTTACTCTTTCTGTCTAAATGCTGTTTAAATTTATAAGAAGAATGTAGAAAAAAAGATCATAAAACAAAGTTTAAGTTGAAAAACTAAGTTTACATAATTTATTTTTAAAATATTCTATAGAAAATATTTATTATTTTATATTTGTAACCAAATGAAAGTAATATATTTACTATGATATATTGTTATTTATAATAAATAATTATATATACAATTTAAAAGTTTTTCAAAAATGTATATAAAAAATGATTAATGCAACTTATTTAAAGTTTAATTACAAAAAAATTTCTTCCTCCTAAATTTCTCTGCAAAGAAAAGTTACATAATGTAAATGCAAAGATGTTTTTATTCTTTAAATGCAACTAAAATCTTTTAACTAAAAATTTTTCTTATAATCATAAATTGACTGAGATAAAAAAAAAATTATTTTTATATGAATTTATATTTATTAAATAACTTTACTATTTTCTCCAAACAATAGCTTCCATTTTAATTCTATTTATTTTATTTTATTTAAAACTTTATTTTCAGTTAATTGTTTACAATAGTTTTATAATCAACATAAACTAATTAAAATCAACACACAAAACTGTATAAGACAATACAAAAAAACATATATTGTGAATAAAAAAAAAAATTAAAAAAAAAAAATTAAAAATAATTTACATGGTAAAAAAAATAAATGTCAATAAATACAACAAAATGGTTATTTTTGACATAAAAAATAAAAATTATTTTTGACAGATTTTACAAAAACAAGATTTTCCGCACCATTTTACTTTTTTTAAACATCTTTGGACAACTTATTGATATAGTTTCATTGTCTAGGGAGTTCCATAGCAAGGATGCTCTATATAAGTTACTTTCTATGAACTTTTATGAAATTTTAAAGTTTATTATGTGGATACAGATGCTTTTAACCCAGTTAGTACACTGTATCCATCCAGGTAATAATGTTTTGTTACATGATTTTTGCAATTATTGGCAGCAATGCATTTGACTGCTTTTGCTGCTTAAACATTTTTTAGAACAATAGACAACAGTGGATAAACTAACAACAGCGAAGGTGTTTATTTAGGGAAAAAATTATGGATGACCCCTAAGATGCATAACATAATTTACATAAGATTGTACATAGGTGGGCTTTGAATCAGCAAACTCAGCAAAATCAGCAACTTAAATAATAAACATTGTATATCCAAATATTATATATTTTCAGAAACTCTGATAGTAAAAAATTAATCGTAACTATTTTTTTGTTTTTAACAACAAGATCTTCTTTATCATACCAAGTTTGTTAAACTGCTATAATACAAGAAATGAATTTAAACATAAAAAAAGATTAAAATGAATTTCAAACTTATCAAACGACAATTACCTCTTATTTGATTATGCTAAAAGGTCAATTAATAATTATCCATTTGACAACCTTACTTGCATACCTGCCATGGTTTGTGTGTATATATAAATATATATACAAATATATATATATATATATATATATATATATATATATATATATATATATATATATATATATATATATATATATATACATATATATATATATATATATATATATATATATATATATATATATATTTTATTTGCATTCACTCCCAACAAGGCTGCAAGCAACCACTATGAAGTTGGGAGTTAATAGGAAAAAAAAAAAGAACAGAGTTATAGAGCAAGGAAACGGTTGACAGAAGACTTGAAAAGTTGAAGGTTGTATGAGTCAGGAAAACATTAAGATGGGAGAGAGTTCCTAAGAATTGAAGTGCGGGGAAAAAAACTAGATGAATTAAAGTTTTTAGAGCATGCAGGGACAAATACAGTAAACAAATGAGACTTAGCTGAATGATGAGTAAAACGAGAATGAATTTTAGTTGAATGGAACTAGAGATGATAACTTCTTTGAGCAGTGACCATGATAGTATTTGTAGAAAAGAGAAAGAGATGCAACTTTACGACGATGGGAAAGAGGCTCAAGCTTAGCAGATAGTCCAGGTCCAACAACATTTACAATGCATTTTTGGACCTTGTCATAAAGAGAAAGTGAATTGTTAGAAGAACCAGCCCAAATATGACAACAGTATTCCATACAGGGACGAATAAGAGATTTGTAGAGGTAGAGAATGGAATCAGAAGTAAGAAAATGGCGAGCACGATAAAGAGAAGCAACCTTAGCAGAAGCTAATTTAGCAATCAAATGTATATATGGTTTCTATGAAAGGTCAGTAGTAAGTGATAATCCAAGAAGACGTAAAGAGAACGACTCAGTAAGAGGATTGCTGTTCATTAATATAGGAATGTTGAACATATTACGGTAGTTGTTTGCAGTAAACAACTAGGTTTTGTTAGAGTTGAAATTCACAAGCCACTGTGAACCCCAATCTATTACAAAGTGAGATCGGATTCAAGATCTGCTGCTTGTTCTAGGCGATCGAAAAGAGAAGACTTTTTGTCAAGAGAGGAGTATAAAGTTGAGTCATCAGCAAAAAGAGTTACTTTAGATGAAAGGTTGTCAGGAAGATCGTTTATGTAGATAAGAAACAAAACAGGGCCCAGGATGGAACCTTGGGGAACCCCAGAAGTTACTGGAAATAAAGAAGAGTGTTGGCCTTCAAGGATGACTTGAATAAACCGGTTAGAAAGAAATGATTTGATAATCTCAAAAACTTTCCCAGAAACACCATATAAAGCAAACTTATGAAGAAGACCAGCATGCCAAACTTTGTCGAAAGCTTTAGATATATCAAGAGCAATAGCCCTAGCCTCACCGCCTCCATCTAATGCACGATAAAATCTTTCAGTTACAGCAGTAAGCAAGTTGGCAGTAGAGCCAAAGGATTGAAAACCGTATTGATTGTCTGACAGTAGTTTATTTGACTCAAGATGAGATGTGAGGAATTTGTTGATCAAAGACTCAAAGACCTTGCTAATAACAGAAAGAAGACTGATCGGACGATAATTGGAGGGATCAGAATTTTCTCCAGAGTTTTTGAATATTGGAACCACAGATGCCATTTTCCAACAAGCAGGAAAACAAGACTCAGTCAAACACGTGTTAAATAGTTTAGAGAGAACTGAAGAAAGTTCTGGAGAACAATTCTGCAAGACTGTGACAGGAATGTTGTCTGGACCACAAGCTGTAGGCGAGTTTAATTGAGATATGACTTTAGCAACAGAAAGCGGAGTGATTTGAATGTCTAACAATGGGTCAACCTGTTTGACTGGAATGGAAGAAAGAGAATGTCCATAAGATTCAAGAGTGGAAGTAGAAGAAAAGTTCTTTGCAAATATTTCTGCCTTATCCTTGGGAGAGGTAATAAGATCAGTCCCATGAATGAGAGATGGAATGTTAGACCTACCCTTGTTAATAATGGTGTTGAAGATTTTCCAAAAGTCTTTAGAGCCTAACTTCTGTGATAAGATGTGAGATTTAGTGAACTGAGAATAATGGAGTTTAGCATCAGAAAGCACCTTTTTACATCGATTTCTTGCAATGATAAATAGCCATTTATTATTGCAAGAAACTTTTTCAAAAGAACAATTCTCAAGAGAGTTGTTCTTTTGAAAAAGATGAAAAAAATGATTACGATTGGATATAGCAGCCGCACAAGAAGGAGAAAACCATGGAGTAGAATGAGGCTTGACTTGAAACCGACGTGAAGGAATAAAAGCTTCCATTCCAGCCTGAATCCAGGAGGTTACGTAGGAGGCGCATTTATCAGCTGAGAGAGAAAAACATCAGCCCAAGGACCATCACGAAGAAAATCACGAAAAGAATCCCAGTTAGCTTTAGGGTAGTAGTAGTTGGTGCGATGAAAAGATGAGCCCAAAAAAGAAGTACAAAAAGAAAGATTTATAGAGATCATTGCATGGTCAGAACCACCTAAGGGAGAAACTGAACATAAGCTAGGGTCAGAGACAAGACAAAAGTCAAGGAGTGAAGGTAAATGATTAGGGTTGTCAGGAAAACGAGTCACAAAGTTAACTATCTGAGTAAGAGATTGAGAAATGCAGAAGTTAAAGGCTTTAGTGCCAGCAGGATCAGTGGTGTTAGAGCCAAGCTATTCAGTGTGATAAGCATTAAAATCACCAACAACAACAATATTGGTAGAGGGGTAAAGAGAGAGGGCATGGTCAATTTGATCAGAGATAACATCTAAAAGAGTGCAATCATGGGAAGAAGGAGAACAATAAAGAACAAAGAGAAAGGTGATAGAGTAAATAGGTGCTAGGCGATAGCATATAAAAGAATGGTCAAAGGATTCGAACCTGATTTCACAACAAATACAGGAATTAATGCGTATGTATACCCCTAAACCTAGCATGTGACTATTGGAGTCTTTACGAATCAAAGGATAGTACCCATCAACACTGACATCTGAAGAAGGAATTGCAGAATTTAAATTTGTTTCATTGAGTGCAAGGAAGTCTGGTGAATTTTGCAGGAAGGTAAGACTCAACTGACCAAAAGTTGCTTCACAGACTGCAAATATTTGTAAAAAATATATTAAAACATTTAGGTGGTGGGGATGGTTTTTTAGGTTTAAAATTTTTGGTTACTTTGGTCATGATTTGGGTTTAATGAGAACTTGACTCATTCATAGATAGAGCACAGCCTCCTAATCAATGAGCTATGCAGTTGTCTCAGTCCTGTTAATTAACCCTAAGCCGTGACATAGGGCTCCTTATGTGGCCTTGACAATGCACACCAAAAGCATCTCTGAGAGCTACCACATGGTTCGGGAGACCTTACTACCAGCCGGCCTCAGAACCATTAAACTGAGTTTTAGAGCTGTACCCTCATATGGAGATAACAGGAAGAGTTGCATAGCCATTATCAAGGAGGCATAAGCAAAATTCTATGAGTAGAGTTAAAAAGATTCAGCATTCATCATCCTAGGCAGGAAACAATGTAACACAGGTTACATCTACACCAGCCTAATAGATG